AGAAATTTGACCTCGATAAACGGTCTAACCAGAGGGGTCCCTATTAGAAACTCCTTCCATTCTCAGGGTAAAGTGATTCGAATGACCAATCTGCCAGCCAGGTTAAACACCTGGATAATTATCTATATATATCTGATAGTCTGAAAGCATTTCACGGTTCCTATAATAGCTTGCTTGTAAACAGGCAAGTAAACCTTTGTCCTAAACAGTGAATATCCTCAAATTTTAAATATATTGTATTATAAATCATTGGTTTAAAATATAAAAAGTCTGTATTTAATTATTTTTCTCTAAAACTGTTAGAAGAATTTGGTTTTATGTAAATGAAATTCTAGAAGATATTCAACTGGTTTTAGAGTTTCATGTTTGAGAATAATATACCATATTTACATAACCAAACCTAAAAAATCTAGCCTAATAGTGTGTGTTTCATAATTAGTGTCTCCAGACACCAAATATAATATGGGTGTCTCAAGACAACAAACAGAACGCCTTGAAAGAAACCAGCATCGTCTATGACTTCACATGCCCACTTGGGGACTGTAAGCCAGAAAGATCTCAATATATAGACAAGACAACAACGTCTCTTTCAAGACGATTAACAATGCGCAAACAACAGGGCTCCATCAAGGAACATATAATCTCCTCACACAACCAGACCATCACCAGAGAAATCTTAACAAGCAACACAGAAATAAGTGATAGATACAGGGATAGGAGGCGGCTCGACATCAGCGAGGTCCTACACATCAAAGAGTCAACACCAGCAATCAACAGCCAATTAACACATAACTATATTCTACCCGCTTCAACATAGAAGCAGCAAGAGCAATATTGAAGCAGCAAATATGCAATATACCCATTGTTTTGCGTTTTGTTTTTTGTCACCTAACTCAAAAACATTTGTCATATCACTTCACCCAAAAACGAATATAAGCATGAAATGATATGTGTAAAAACCTGTCTTTGAAAATGTGAGAAGTCCTTGTGAAACGCTTTTAGGCGTCAGACCATAAATAAAAATGAGAAAATGAACTTTGGAGAGTTAATTTTTCAATTACCCCAACAGTGAAGAAAATCGTAAGAAATATTGAGAAGATTCGTGTTAGAATCATTAATTTTACCCTTTCGGTCATATTCAACAACATATGTTTACAAGAAAGACTACTACCAATATATATATATATATATATATATATATATATATATATATATATATATATATATATATATATATATATATATATATATATATATACACATATATATATATATATGTCGTACCTAGTAGCCAGAACGCATTTCTCGGCCTACTATGCAAGGCCCGATTTGCCTAATAAGCCAAGTTTTCCTGAATTAATATATTTTCTCAATTTTTTTCTTATGAAATGATAAAGCTACCCATTTCATTATGTATGAGGTCAATTTTTTTTATTGGAGTTAAAATTAACGTAGATATATGACCGAACCTAACAAACCCTACCTAACCTAACCTAACCTAACCTATCTTTATAGGTTAGGTTAGGTTAGGTAGCCGGAAAAGTTAGGTTAGGAAAATCGTAAGAAATATTGAGAAGATTCGTGTTAGAATCATTAATTTACCCTTTCGGTCATATTCAACAACATATGTTTACAAGAAAGACTACTACCAATATATATATATATATATATATATATATATATATATATATATATATATATATATATATATATATATATACACATATATATATATATATGTCGTACCTAGTAGCCAGAACGCATTTCTCGGCCTACTATGCAAGGCCCGATTTGCCTAATAAGCCAAGTTTTCCTGAATTAATATATTTTCTCTAATTTTTTTCTTATGAAATGACTTAGGTTAGGTAGTCGAAAAAACATTAATTCATGAAAACTTGGCTTATTAGGCAAATCGGGTCTTGCATAGTAGGCTGAGAAGTGCGTTCTGGCTACTAGGTACGACATATATATATATATATATATATATATATATATATATATATATATATATATATATATATATATATAAATATATATATATATATATATATATTGCAACAGTTTTGGATGAGGTGAACAAACTTTTGGCAAACACAAGACAGAACACGGAACAATGAGTGTTAATTGGATATATGAGAGCATAATTTTTAAATTATAATTATAAAATTTGCGATTTTATAATAAGTGTAATACATTCTTCAGTTATTGAATTCTTTTTCTTCACCTTGAAAACAACATGACTTTTGGTGAACTACTAAGCCCTAAATCAGAAAATAGTAAATACGGAATATGCTGTCATATTCAATGAGACATGCATAAAAGAAAACCTGCTGCCAGTATACACCAATATATATATATATTTGTATATATATATGTGGGTTCGTAATCAGCTTCAACCTATCAAATCTGTAACATTACACATGTACATGACACGTTTAAAAAAAAAATATAGCAGATGAGCCCCTCCAAGAGTGCCTCAAAGTTTTGAAAGACATCATCTACTGAAATGTAACTTGCTCCAACTCCGGCAATTACAGACTTAATGTAATAATTTTGTACACAAATCAGAAAGTGTGTATATAGTCTCATTATAAAGGCGCTATGAAGGAGCTATGTACTATAGCCTCGGCAACTATATCCACTCCACAGCATCAATCACTGCTTGATACCTGGTTGATGGGGTTCTGGGAGTTCTTCTACTCCCCAAGTCCCGGCCCGAGGCCAGGCTTGACTTGTGAGAGTTTGGTCCACCAGGCTGTTTGTTGCTTGGAGCGGCCCGCAGGCTCACAGCCCGGTTGGTCCGGCACTTCTTGTAGAAAACTCTCTAGTTTTTCTCTAGAAGATGAAGATGATTGCAGAAAGATTAGGTAAATTGGTCTGAACGCAATTTCTTTAAATAAATTACTGCACATCTTAAAGATAAGGAACCCAAGAAACTTTAAAACAATTATACTGAAGATTTTTTTCTTGTTTTAGCTCATCATGCGAGTTGTAGTGAAACAAAAACGGAAGGAGCACATAATGGGTTATCGTGAGGTTATCTTAAGATGATTTCGGGGCTTAGCGTCCCTTCGGCCCCTCGACCGGGCCTACTTTTTGTTACACATCCCCAGGAAGCAGCCCGTAGCATCTGTCTAACTCCCAGGTACCTATTTACTGCTAGGTGAACAAGAGTATCAGGGTGAAAGACACTCTGCCCCATTTGTTTCCGCCTCCACCGGGAATCGAACCTGGAACCTCAGGACTACGAATCCGAAGCGCTGTGCACTCAGCTGTCAGGCCCCTTCACGGATTCACGAACACAAATCCAAAATCCGAATTTACTAAGTTACCGCACTGTTGAGAAAATGACATATTTTATTAATATATGAAAATGTATGCTCAGGTCTTATAAGAGTTCTTAGTGGTATACCTGTGTTGTGAGGGAGGTGTTGTCGAAGTGATTGGTAATTGATTGTCGAGGTGATTAGTGATGGATTGTCGAGGTGATTGTCGTGTTTTCGTTGTCAGGAGGATGTGGCCTAATTCGCTGGCCACTCAGGCCACATATGAGGTTCTTACTGTCAATCTTACACCAGAAGTTTTCAAGTGTTAAATAGCAAACTTCAACTCGTAAAATATTATTCCTCCTCCTGAGTTTTAAATATACTAGTTGCTAGTTGTAGTTCCACTAGTGTTGTTTGTGTGGCGGTAGAGGGTTATAAACTGACATTAAAAGTCTATGTGCATACTCTTTATCAAACCTTATATGCTGCTACAGTCTGTCCAGTAGACGATTGGACTGAGCCGTCGGTGTAGACACAGTGCTCGTGAGATCTGAAATTCTCGATGGAGGAGGCAATTGTTTCAAGTGTGACAGCTTTGAGAAGAGCAAGATTCTCATTACCTTTCTTGGTGACGGGTGGGTGTGATACTTGAACAGTGGGGGGCAGATGAAGAGGAATATCAGTGACAGGTAGATTACTTTTAAAAGGAATGTTGAACTGGATGAGATTGTAGGCACTTTGACTCAGCTGTTTATCATATAAGGAGTTCAGCAATTATTGCAGTCTAAGAAGGTGGCTCACTCTCCCACACATGGCATGGTGGGAAAGGCATGGGAGAGTGGCTAGGTCGTAGTGAAGCATGGGAGAGTAACTAGGTTGAAGAGACGTGGAAGAGCAACTAGGTGAGACATGAGTGAAGAGAGCTCGGACATGAGTGAGGGGACAAGTAACTTGTTATCTCACTAAGTGCACTCAGTTACAACGGTGTCGACCAAACCGTCAACATTCCAGCGTTTATAGTAAAAAAATTAGCACCGGAATATTTACGTAATTTTGGGGGACCGGGTCCCTAGAGTACCCATTCCCCAGGGGGAGGTAAACCCACGGAATGGGTCCCTTGGTACAGGGGGGGAGGGGGGTTACCGAAAAGAAGAGAACTTAACACTAACTTAACACTCACCCGACAGACGGAATGCATTAGGCAGTGATGTGGTGGAGGCTGACTCCATACACAGTTTCAAATTTAGATATGACAGAACCCAGTAGACTCAGGAATTTGTACACCAGTTGATTGACGGTTGAGAGGCGGAACCAAAGAGTCAAAGCTCAACCCCCGCAAGCACAAATAGGTGAGTACAAATAGGTGAATACACACACACACACAATTAGGGGCTGGCTGGCTGAGTGGACAGCGCTCTAGACTCGTGGACTTAAAAGAGACCAGGGTTCGATCCCAGCAGCCGGCGAAAAAACAAATGGGCAGGTTTCCTTCACCCTGATGTCCCTGTTACCTGGCAATAAATAGGTACCTGGGAGTTAGACAGCTGCTACGGGCTGCTTCCTGGGGTGTGTGTGTGTTTGTGTGAAAAAAAATAAAACAGTAGTTAGTAACAGTTGATTGACAGTTGAAAGGCGGGCCGAAAGAGCAGAGCTCAACCCCCGTAAGCACAACTAGGTGAATACACTCCCAACACACGCTTCACCTCCCACTCAAGTGCCATCTATTATGGAGCGATGGCAAAAAATCTTGCACAAGTTGATGGTAAAGTTGCCAAGTTGCCACAGGTAAGCCAGGTGAGGCTCTCCCAGGCTGACCAGCGGCCTGCTGTCCCCCTCCCTCCAGGGGGGAGGAGGAGCGTGGCATGGTATGTTGGTGGTGTGGGTGGTAGCAGGGGCGGTGGGCGGCAGAACCAGGGGGTGGGTGGCAGCAAGAGTGGTGGCCAGCAGCAGGAACGATGTTTCATGTCATGATCATGTCCCCCAGTTGTATCTCTCCTACTCTCCCACCTTAACCACTCTTAGCTCTGGCACTGACCAGGTTGTAAACATGTTCACTACAAGTCCCAACACTGTGCTCGTCTAATACACGTCGTGCAAAGCCAATAAAGAGACAGCGAGTCGATAAAGAGTCCTGTTTTGGCTTTCTGAACGACGCTCACACGTTCAAAACAATTTTTATAAGGCTGAAATTGGGTAGTTGTCCTGCCAACGTAGATAATAAATCATTATCTGTTGAGTGTTTCAAGAACATTAGCAAAAATTATGTCTTTAAATTATGTCTTTTGAAGTTGTTTGAAGACATCTAAGAATCAAAATAAACTCCTTTTTTCCTTGGGCGTGTCCATGCCTTAGGTAACCCATCAGATGATTATGGTCCTTTACTGAGGTAGGAAATAATAAAGATATATAAATAAAAGAAAACCGCGCATTCTGAAGCCAGTGCGAGGAGTTAGTTTAATGGTTAATGGATCCCTTGCAACCCTTTGGGGAGAGGCGGAAAATGGTATACTGAGTTGGTGATGGGGGAGGCTGTGATGGTGGTGATGGTGGTGACTGTGATGGTGGTGATGGTGGTGACTGTGATGGGGGAGGCTGTGATGGTGGTGATGGTGGTGATGGTGGTGACTGTGATGGTGGTGACTGTGATGGTGGTGATGGTGGTGACTGTGATGGTGGTGATGGGGGAGGCTGTGATGGTGGTGATGGGGGAGGCTGTGATGGTGGTGACTGTGATGGTGGTGATGGTGGTGACTGTGATGGTGGTGATGGTGGTGACTGTGATGGTGGTGATGGTGGTGACTGTGATGGGGGAGGCTGTGATGGTGGTGACTGTGATGGTGGTGACTGTGATGGTGGTGATGGGGCGACTGTGATGGTGGTGATGGGGGCGACTGTGATGGTGGTGACTGTGATGGTGGTGATGGGACGACTGTGATGGTGGTGATGGAGGCGACTGTGATGGTGGTGATGGTGGTGACTGTGATGGTGGTGATGGGGCGACTGTGATGGTGGTGATGACGGCGACTGTGATGGTGGTGACTGTGATGGTGGTGATGGGGCGACTGTGATGGTGGTGATGACGGCGACTGTGATGGCAGCGACTGTGATAGCAGTGATACCGTCGAGCATCACAGTAACGTTTAGTGAAGAGTGAAGTGAGGGGGTGGAGACAGGCCAGAGGAGGGGTCAGTGACTCACCATCAGGGGCGTCACTCACCATCAGGGGCGTCACTCACCATCAGGGGCGTCACTCACCATCAGGGGCGTCACTCACCATCAGGGGCGTCACTCACACACAAGGGGCGTCACTCCTCCTCCTCCTGGAGGTAATCAGTCAACCATCCAAACAATAATAAACACCCAAAACGGAGCCAGGCGGGGAGGGAGTCTCCCCTCACACCCATGAACATCAACCGTCTCCCCAACCGTCTCCGTCACCCACCCGTCCCTCGGGCCCTGAGGTGATGGACTGGTGTCAACCCAGATGCACCTGTCAACTCCCGACCGGTGGGTTGATTTTAGGTAGCATGTAGGCCTCAGTCGACTCCTAGTTGGTAATTTAATAGGACTTCAAGCCACGGGATGGTAGTTCACCAGTTAAGGATATATATATATATATATATATATAGGCACAACTCTCCTAAACACGAGAGTTAAGTATACAACTTTAGAACACTTTCCCACCAGGAGACTCGAACCCTAGCCAGCACAGAAGCCTTCCAGCAACTGGCATAACAGGTACGCCTTAACCCTCTCCACCACCGCTCAGACCCTTAAAAGAGATGGTAATTTCGGAGTATTTAAATACCCCAAAGATCAACAGAGAAGCCTGAAGCCTGGAAGGCTTCTGTGCTGGCTAGGGTTCGAGTCTCCTGGTGGGAAAGTGTTCTAAAGTTGTATACTTAACTCTCGTGTTTAGGAGAGTTGTGCCTTAAGCAGAGACACTGTGTCTTCCCATATTAACAGGGACTTGATGAAATTAACGTCTAAATGACCCCTCACTTGCTCTGGTGCTCTTGGGAGGTGTTGATCTTTGGGGTATTTAAATACTCCGAAATTACCATCTCTTTTAAGGGTCTGAGCGGTGGTGGAGAGGGTTAAGGCGTACCTGTTATGCCAGTTGCTGGAAGGCTTCTGTGCTGGCTAGTGTTCGAGTCTCCTGGTGGGAAAGTGTTCTAAAGTTTTATATATATATATATATATATATATATATATATATATATATATATATATATATATATATATATATATATATATATACAAACTTTGGACAACACCCACCAGTGGGACTCGAACCCAGAAAGCACAACTACCTTCCAGTAGCTGGCATAACTAGTATGCTTTAACCCACTACGCCATCAGACCTTACAAAAGAAGTAGATAGTTCGAGATATATATCTCAAACATCTCTACCTCCCGAAGGCACCAGATGAGTGAGGGGTCAGTCTGCATTTTTCGTCAAGCCACTGTCAATGTGAGAGAACTCGTGTCCAGCTTATAAGCCTATACTTGCATAAACCACAAGTGAAGATAAACAATCTTTGGACAACACCCACCAGTGGGACTCGAACCCAGAAAGCACAACTACCTTCCAGTAGCTGGCATAACTAGTATGCTTTAACCCACTACGCCATCAGACCTTACAAAAGAAGTAGATAGTTCGAGATATATATCTCAAACATCTCTACCTCCCGAAGGCACCAGATGAGTGAAAGCATACTAGTTAGAAGGCACCAGATGAGTTAAAGCATACTAGTTATGCCAGCTACTGGAAGGTAGTTGTGCTTTCTGGGTTCGAGTCCCACTGGTGGGTGTTGTCCAAAGATTGTTTATCTTCACTTGTGGTTTATGCAAGTATAGGCTTATAAGCTGGACACGAGTTCTCTCACATTGACAGTGGCTTGACGAAAAATGCAGACTGACCCCTCACTCATCTGGTGCCTTCGGGAGGTAGAGATGTTTGAGATATATATCTCGAACTATCTACTTCTTTTGTAAGGTCTGATGGCGTAGTGGGTTAAAGCATACTAGTTATGCCAGCTACTGGAAGGTAGTTGTGCTTTCTGGGTTCGAGTCCCACTGGTGGGTGTTGTCCAAAGATTGTTTATCTTCACTTGTGGTTTATGCAAGTATAGGCTATATATATATATATATATATGTCGGCCCGAGGCATGTTAAACATCAAAACTGTACAATAAATAACATATCTCAATTTTTTTTATAAAACATAATGACAGGCTCTGAGCTTGCATGCATACATTACCTATGTAAAAAATATTTGTTATTAACTTTTTAAAATCATAATGCAAATTTAAAACTTTTGTTCAGTAGATAGAGTATTCTGTTTTCAGTTTCAATTATATTATTTCACGGACCATTCAGCACCTCTCTACCTACATGTAAACATGAGGAAAATCTAAATATATAAATGAAAATGCCTGTTTGTCTGGTTGTCCTAGTCCGGAGACCAAATGCTTGGGGCTAGCCTCATTCGTAGTACAGTTGGCTTCGTTCTCGACTTACAATTGGGGAGCCTGAGTTCGATTCCAGGGTTGAGACTAAATGATTGGGTTTACATCTTCGTGAAGGTGATCATAGTAACCCCTGTGAACCTCCTGGTGACTCTCAGACTGGCATGACATAGAAAACATTATATATATATATATATATATATATATATATATATATATATATATATATTATATTGGTGTATACTGGCAGCAGGTTTTCTTTCAAACATGTTTCATTGAATATGACCGCATATTCTGTATTTATTATTTTCTGGTTTAGGGCTTCTATCCCTCTAACTATTTTCTTAGCATCAGGGCTTAATTGGAATAGGAGTTCTCCAAAACTCATTTTCGTACTTTTAAGGTGAAGAAAAGAAGTGATTTACTATAGAGTGTATTACACTTATTTGTATAATTTGCACGACGTTTCGAACCTCCATGGTTCATTCTCAAGTGAACAGATCTTACAATACTAGTTGATTTTATACCCGCATTAGGTCAGGTGATAATACAATGAAGGTGAAAAACATGGGGGATACATAAGGGATAAACATAGGGGCTGCAGAAGGCTTATTGGCCCATACGAGGCATCTCCTATCTAAACACAAAGATTAATCCAGTGTAATTGGCCTGTTATGTTGGACATTGTCTTCTGTGTTGGCATCGATATGTTCTTGTCTTGTCCTTACTCTCATGGTGGGTAGAGTAAATAGTTCCGTGATTTGGGTGTTCATGGTAGGTCGCTCTATTCTTATGTGAATTGCCTCAAGAATTTGTAATCTTCTTGAATCTTGGGTTTTGTCTATTATGCAAGTATTCTTGTTCAACATTTCTCTTGTTAGAGTAATGTCATGGGCTTGTCTCATGTGATTCCTAGGGGCACCAGATTGAAGATGGCATGTCAAACGCCTCGTCAGCTTGGTCGACGTCATACCTATGTACTTACATTGAAGGTTACATCCTTCGTGGGGGCAAGTGTACATGTATACAACGCTTGACTGCTGTAGAGGGTTCTCCGTCGGCTTCGGGCTGTTTTTGATAAGGAGTTCGGAAGTCTTCTTGGTTTTGTAGAATATTATCAGGTTTATGTTTTGGTTAGGAGTAGTGCTTTTTACTCCTTTATGGATTATTTCTTTCATTATTCTTTCCTCTTTTATATGTTCACTGTGCATGGTTGATTTGTAATATAATTTTATTGGGGGAGTTGTGGTTTCTGTTCTAGGTTCTGAATTATACCAACGGTCCAAGTGTCTTCTTATAGCAGCGTTTATTTCCGCGTTGCTATATCCGTTGTTCACCAATACCTGAGTTACTCTTTCAAACTCTCTACTCACGTTGCTCCATTCAGAGCAGTGGGTAAGCGCTCGACGAATATAAGCATTGAGAACACTGGCTTTGTATCTTTGGGGGCACTCACTTCTACCGTTCAGGCATAATCCTATGTTGGTGGGCTTGGTATATACGTTGGTGCTTAAAGAGGTTCCTGTTTTTGTTATTAGTACATCCAAGAATGGCAGACTGTTATTTTCACTATTTTCATGTGTAAATCGGAGTACTGACTCTCTCTCTAGGTGTCTTTTTATGTCAATTAGTTCATCTGAGTCTTTTACTATTACGAATATGTCATCTACATAACGGCAGTATACAGTTGGTTTTTGTCTGCTACTGAAGACCCTATCTTCGATGGTTCCCATATAAAAATTAGCAAATAAAACTCCTAAGGGGGAGCCCATTGCTACTCCGTCTATTTGTAAATACATGTCTCCTTGTGGACTGATGAAAGGAGCTTCCTTTGTACATGCTACGTAAACAATATTTTCTTATTGTTACGTAGACGTAACAATAAGAAAAGCCGACAAAACAGCAGCATATGTATTGATTCCTACCCATGAATACATGAATAAAATTAGCGACATCCTAAGTGACGACTCCAAATTTCAACGAATCACGAGGAACCCTGTAGAAGACCTTAAGCGGAAAGTAAACAAAACAATTACAGCAATCAACGCAAAGAAAGGTAGTGTACATTTCAATAAACTTCAAGGCGACTATGGCTTAGGATATGCCTACGGCAATGTTAAGACGCATAAACCAGGTAACCCACTACGCCCTATAATCAGCCAAATACCAACCCCAACTTATCACCTGGCAAAGAAACTCAATGAACTCCTAACTCCATACACTCCAAGTAAGTTTAGTCTACAATCATCAGCAGATTTCTAGAATTGATCAAATCTACCCAGCCCGATGGAATCATCGCTTCCCTGGACGTTGAATCCCTTTTACCAACGTCCCAGTCGACACAACCATAGGAATGATACTGGACAGAGTATACAGAGACGAGAGCACCCCCAAATTAGACATACCTGAGCCACACTTAAAAAGTCTTCTCGAAGCATGTACAAAGGAAGCCCCTTTCATCAGTCCACAAGGAGACATGTATTTACAAATAGACGGAGTAGCAATGGGCTCCCCCTTAGGAGTTTTATTTGCTAATTTTTATATGGGAACCATCGAAGATAGGGTCTTCAGTAGCAGACAAAAACCAACTGTATACTGCCGTTATGTAGATGACATATTCGTAATAGTAAAAGACTCAGATGAACTAATTGACCTAAAAAGACACCTAGAGAGTCAGTACTCCGATTTACACATGAAAATAGTGAAAATAACAGTCTGCCATTCTTGGATGTACTAATAACAAAAACAGGAACCTCTTTAAGCACCAACGTATATACCAAGCCCACCAACATAGGATTATGCCTGAACGGTAGAAGTGAGTGCCCCCAAAGATACAAAGCCAGTGTTCTCAATGCTTATATTCGTCGAGCGCTTACCCACTGCTCTGAATGGAGCAACGTGAGTAGAGAGTTTGAAAGAGTAACTCAGGTATTGGTGAACAACGGATATAGCAACGCGGAAATAAACGCTGCTATAAGAAGACACTTGGACCGTTGGTATAATTCAGAACCTAGAACAGAAACCACAACTCCCCCAATAAAATTATATTACAAATCAACCATGCACAGTGAACATATAAAAGAGGAAAGAATAATGAAAGAAATAATCCATAAAGGAGTAAAAAGCACTACTCCTAACCAAAACATAAACCTGATAATATTCTACAAAACCAAGAAGACTTCCGAACTCCTTATCAAAAACAGCCCGAAGCCGACGGAGAACCCTCTACAGCAGTCAAGCGTTGTATACATGTACACTTGCCCCCACGAAGGATGTAACCTTCAATGTAAGTACATAGGTATGATGTCGACCAAGCTGACGAGGCGTTTGACATGCCATCTTCAATCTGGTGCCCCTAGGAATCACATGAGACAAGCCCATGACATTACTCTAACAAGAGAAATGTTGAACAAGAATACTTGCATAATAGACAAAACCCAAGATTCAAGAAGATTACAAATTCTTGAGGCAATTCACATAAGAATAGAGCGACCTACCATGAACACCCAAATCACGGAACTATTTACTCTACCCACCATGAGAGTAAGGACAAGACAAGAACATATCGATGCCAACACAGAAGACAATGTCCAACATAACAGGCCAATTACACTGGATTAATCTTTGTGTTTAGATAGGAGATGCCTCGTATGGGCCAATAAGCCTTCTGCAGCCCCTATGTTTATCCTTATGTATCCCCCCATGTTTTTCACCTTCATTGTATTATCACCTGACCTAATGCGGGTATAAAATCAACTAGTATTGTAAGATCTGTTCACTTGAGAATGAACCATGGAGGTTCGAAACGTCGTGCAAATTATACAAATAAGTGTAATACACTCTATAGTAAATCACTTCTTTTCTTCACCTAAAAGTACGAAAATGAGTTTTGGAGAACTCCTATTCCAATTAAGCCCTGATGCTAAGAAAATAGTTAGAGGGATAGAAGCCCTAAACCAGAAAATAATAAATACAGAATATGCGGTCATATTCAATGAAACATATATATATATATATATATATATATATATATATATATATATATTAGTAATTAGTAAAACATTGTCACTGATATCCACAAAATTTTCAAAATAACTTTAAAAATCAAACTTTGGTCAATTATAGTTTGTTTTGATCAAAGTTTGAAACATAATTATTTTGTCTTATGTTTAAGCAGTCACCCCTACACTCTTCTACCACCTATCTCTTCATACACAGCCTCTTGCTACCTCTATAGAGTCTCCTGCTGCCTCTCAAGAGTCACCTGCTGCCTCTCAAGTGTCTCCTGCTGCCTCTCAAGTGTCTCCTGCTGCCTCTCAAGAGTCTCCTGCTGCCTCTCAAGTGTCTCCTGCTGCCTCTCAAGAGTCACCTGCTGCCTCTCAAGTGTCTCCTGCTACCTCTCAAGAGTCACCTGCTGCCTCTCAAGTGTCTCCTGCTACCTCTCAAGAGTCACCTGCTGCCTCTCAAGAGTCACCTGCTGCCTCTCAAGTGTCTCCTGCTGCCTCTCAAGAGTCTCCTGCTGCCTCTCAAGAGTCTCCTGCTGCCTCTCAAGAGTCACCTGCTGCCTCTCAAGAGTCACCTGCTGCCTCTCAAGTGTCTCCTGCTGCCTCTCAAGTGTCTCCTGCTGCCTCTCAAGAGTCTCCTGCTGCCTCTCAAGTGTCTCCTGCTGCCTCTCAAGAGTCACCTGCTGCCTCTCAAGTGTCTCCTGCTGCCTCTCAAGAGTCACCTGCTGCCTCTCAAGAGTCACCTGCTGCCTCTCAAGTGTCTCCTGCTGCCTCTCAAGAGTCTCCTGCTGCCTCTCAAGAGTCACCTGCTGCCTCTCAAGAGTCACCTGCTGCCTCTCAAGAGTCACCTGCTGCCTCTCAAGAGTCACCTGCTGCCTCTCAAGAGTCACCTGCTGCCTCTCAAGAGTCACCTGCTACCTCTCAAGAGTCACCTGCTGTCTCTCAAGAGTCTCCTGCTACCTCTCAAGAGTCACCTGCTGCCTCTCAAGAGTCACCTGCTGCCTCTCAAGAGTCACCTGCTGCCTCTCAAGAGTCACCTGCTGCCTCTCAAGAGTCACCACCCCCACCCATTCTTCCACATTCACCTCTCCCGTTTCCCTCCAAAGATGCCTACCTCCCAATTCTCGATACTCACAGATCGACTCATAGAAGGAAAACATGTAAAATAATCCGGGAATAGCAAATATAAAGATACTTTAAAGGTTAAGATTATTAAATAAGACAGGAAGGATGAGATCTATGATCAATGATTCCAGCAAGAATATTCTCTATTTTTCTTAGAATTTTTCAGCGTTTTAGAAGGAAGTTAATCCTCGTCAACCTGATTTCAACTGAAGCTGCGTGTGAGACCACGGTTGACCTGTATATATATCAAACTTTTTGGGTTGTGATAAAAAAGTTAGGTTTGTTTAGGTAATAATAATATACTTAAGTTTGGTTAGATTTGGTTAATAAATTTGGGTCCGATTACGTTAGGTTTTGAAAATTAAGTTAGGTTAATGAAGTTAGGTAGCTCTGCGTACTTTTAGCATTGATAAGAACTTTTCCTTTGCAGTCCTGGGAGAAGAACTAGTCCCATGGCAGCAGCAGAGTCCCGTGGAAGCAGAGAACCATGAGAGCAGAGAACCATGGGAGCAGAGAACCATGAGAGCAGAGAACCATGGAAGCAGAGAACCATGGAAGCAGAGAACTATGAGAGCAGAGAACCATGGGAACAGAGAACCATGAGAGCAGAGCCTCCAAGACAGGTGTCGTACGCAATCTATGAGCAGCATCCACCTTTCTGCTTTGACATTTTCATTTTGATAAGTGCCTCTTCCTCCCATTCCTCCAAAAGGAAAAAAAAATCCCTGTCATCTCACAAAACCTCTTGTGCATTCCATCCTTACAAATGCCCTCCTCTTGGAAAAATAACATCTTAAGAAGGCCTTCTTCACACAACCATATATATATTCACACGTATTCCATTTGGAAAAAAATAGCTGATATAGTTTAGGTTTTCCCCTCCGCGTATTTATCAAAACCCTTGATATTTCACGTCGAAACTTTTATCAACGACAATTTATCCGAATATCTGGTGGGGATTTGCTTGAGCGGACGCGATGGTTGAATCTCCTGCTTCACTTTATGGTGATTTTGGCTTCATTCCCTACCTCACTCATACGAGGGGAGGGAAGATGGTGTAGGATGGCTGTGTGTGTGTGTGGAGGGAGAGAGAGAGAGAGAGAGAGAGAGAGAGAGAGAGAGAGAGAGAGAGAGAGAGAGATAAGATGGCGTGAGTGCAAGTGTGAGGAAAAAATACGTTATAGGTTGAATGCAATACTGAGGGGGGTTAAGATGGGGAGGAATTGAAAGGGAATAACATGTTGCGTTTGGTTACTTTAAAAAAGGCAGGAGGACGTTTGTGAACCGATTTGAAAGGTGGTGGCAGTGGGGGTTTGGGCGGGGTGTTGGTGGGGGTTTGGGCGGGGTGTGGGCGGGGTGTAGGCGGGGGTGTGGGCTCGGTGTGGGGGTTGGAGGAGGATACATGTTGAGAAAAGGAAAAGTGATGCAGGGGGAGGGGAATGGAGAGGGAGAGATTGGCGTTTCCATGACGCGATGTATTGGAAAGGGTAGATTATCTATTTTACAAAATGGATCAGGTGATGGGCAAGACGAAGATGGGGCAGATGATAGGCAAGACCATCATAGGTAATGGGTAAAACCAAAAATGAGGCAGATGATATTTAGTGCTGAGACCACTACAAAGGATGAGTGATGCCTTCAGCTGTTTTATACTCGTGGATTTAGGCCAAACACGTCGGCGGCTTTTGAATGACAGCCACAAAAACACAGGCTGTTATTGAGTCAGAGGCAATGTTGACGCTAACATTAGCGGAAGGTTAGCAATGCTGAATAGACACATTAACATTAGCGAAAGAATGGCAGAACTGAACGCAAACTCCTACATCATAACAGCTGTTTTGTTTGTTTGTTGTCTGTCGTGAGTGCATCGAAAGCCTAGTTAATTATATAACTAACTTTTTGCCACCGGAAAAGCATCGTGTTCATGACGCTCCTGTCGGCGTTTCACAAACCAGCTGTGCTTCAACGCAGATCAGAGTTCAAGTGGTGCTAGAATAAAGATTAGGGGTCAAATTCGTGAGAAAAATATGTTACTCCTTAGGTCATCGCTATTATTTAAGCAAACCAAACCGAATTTAATCAATCCTAACCGAACCTAATATAACCAAGCAAAACCTAACCCATCCTAACCTAACTAAAGCTAACCTAAATCAACCTATAACATTCTATCCTTCCCTAATGAATATAAAAGACAAAATGTTGCTTAATATACATATATGTAGGATGTGTGTGACGTGACTATGACTTCATACTGTCCATGGAGGTGAAGGAGCCGGATGGGACCAGTCTCTTGTGCTGGTCACCATTCACGTTAGTCTCCGGACTTGACAAATACCAGATGGAGCACGTCTGGTCAACACTGGACCTCAAGTATGTAAGTAGTGCACGCCTGGAGCCACGTCCAGCCCTCACCCCAGGTCCAGCCCTCACTCCAGGTCCAGCCCTCGGACAAAACTCCACCCCACCCTCACAATCATCCCCCATCCCCAACCCCTCTCTCCCCCACATCCCCCCTTTCCCCCACAGCTTGGATCCTCTCTGAAGCTCATCTATTCGACTGAATTCACAGGCAAAAAAAAAAAAATCCTGTTTTCCATTGAGACATTTGCATTGATAATGAACGCAAAATTTAAAGAAAAGAGCGTTCTTTTTTCCAGCGTCACATCTCCGACGCATGCATGAGTATAACTGGATTAAGAGACTCATTAACTTAAACCCTTCAGGTGGTGCTGATAAAAGAACTTAATTACCCGACTCAGTCGACCAAAAGTGCGAATATTTAATTAAAATCTGTTCTTGGCCATAAGTCTGGATTTCTCGTCCAGTATCTTGTGGAGAAAATAATTTCTTAGATTTATTCGTTTTTACTAGTTTTGTTGTATTCAGTTTTATTCACTGGCTGTCCGGTTTCTTAATCCAGTTTTTTATTCACTGGCTGCCTGGATTCTAAATTTCAGTTTAGTCAGCGCTGTTTGGATTCTTCATTCCAGAACATTCTTCCTCGTCTGCTCGGCTTCTCACGCAGGCTGAAAGTATTTTCCATCACCTTGGGAACTAGGGCGGCAAGCGTTTGCCTGGAACTAGGATGGCAGGTAATAGCGTCGAACTATGATGGCATGGAATGGCCGTGGCAAGGGTGAATCTAGAACTTGGGTTCAAGCGTCGGCCTGGAACAACGGTTCAAGCGTCGGCCTGGAACTAGCGTTCAAGCGTCGGCCTGGAACAACGGTTCAAGCCTCGGCCTGGAACAACGGTTCAAGCGTCGGCCTGGAACTAGCGTTCAAGCGTCGGCCTGGAACAACGGTTCAAGCCTCGGCCTGGAACAACGGTTCAAGCGTCGGCCTGAAACAACGGTTCAAGCGTCGGCCTGGAACAACGGTTCAAGCGTCGGCCTGAAACAACGGTTCAAGCGTCGGCCTGGAACAACGGTTCAAGCCTCGGCCTGGAACAACGGTTCAAGCGTCGGCCTGGAACTAGCGTTCAAGCGTCGGCCTGGAACTAGCGTTCAAGCGTCGGTCTACAATTCGCAGCAAAGAACAAATGAGTAGAAACGTCTGGAAACACCGCCCACACCACCCACGCCGCCCAGGACTTGGCTGCCGGACATTACCAAAAACAAGATAGATTGAAAGCTTTCCGGTCAGCGAATACACAAAACGAATGACGTGTTTTCCATCATTGTCGACAAGACAAATAGCCTACTGATCCCAGAGAACCAACTCCAAACACTGCTTTTGCGACAAGCGCTGTTTTTTCCAGCGTGAAAGTTATATTTAACGACAAGAAGTACGAGTTCGCACGGAGTTATACAAAATACACACGAAAGGCGTAAGTTTGTTTGTGTTATACCTTGACCTTTAAGAATTACGTTGGGGTTTAGTGGGAATTTCACCATCTGGAGAATATTCTAAATTTGTACCGACTTAATTTTATGATGTACTTGAGAGAAGTTATTACAAGATTACGTTACTCACAAATATGCTGAGGTAATTTTTAAAACTCTCATCCATATTTCTGCAAGATTAAGATGGATTCGAAGGCGAGGAATTCTGTTTATGTCGGTGATAAGATTAATCGACTTTTAAAACTAATGGTAGTTGGTGATGCTCATTGTAGTGAGCGTACAGGCAGCTGGCAGTTGAGTCCCTCTTCCAGTGCTTCCAATACAAGAGGGAGAAACCCAGGATGCACGGCCCTGGATGAGAGCCCTTGGAGAGACCCTTTGGGAGAGACAGAATCCCCCCTCCCGACGGAGAGAGAGAGAGAGAGAGAGAGAAACCCTGGAAGAGAGATCCCTGGAAGTGAGGCCCTTGAAAGAGAAACCTCCTGGAAGAGACCTCTTGGAAGAGAGACCTCCTGGAAGAGAGACCTCCTAGAAGACACCTCCTGGAAGAGATACCTCCTGGAAGAGAGACCTCCTGGAAGAATCACACCAGGAAGAGAGAGCCCTAGATTCTAAGGCTCTCTCTCTACTCCTCTATGGCTTAGAGGAGCAAGAAAATGAGTAGAGATCCTGGAAGAGAAACATAATGACTCTTTCAAAGCGTTTATAAATAGAAAATACAAACAAGGATTAGTTGACAGGGAAAATCCAAAGAAAGGTGTTTCAGGAATTTGACAATGAGGCCAAAGACACCATATGAAAAAATATAGAATAAAAACTTATATAGGAAACCCCTTAGAAGGTAACAGCAAAGAAGTTGCAAGGAGCTCAAACAACAATAGACCGCTGGGTTCAAACAGGACTTTGATTACCGAAGGCTTATGGAGACGCTAATATTTCAAACCGCGGACCAGAAAACAATTGTGTGTGTCCAATTAAGTATCAAACCGGAGCCGTATTACTCTCTATAATCTCCCCTGGTAACCTGTTCCGCATGTTTGCAACTCGATTAGAGATAAATTATTTTGCTCCGATGGGCTGAAGTCGCTTGCCTGCAGTTTAATAACCACTGATTCGTGTTTTGAATTAGTTGATAAGCCTCTAACTGGAGGGATACAATTTTATCTCGACTGCTCGTTACTATCAGTTTACTAGTTTCTTAAACGTTGCTCAGTAATTACTAGGAAGCACCCTTCTTTTTGTTTTAATATCAGTGAAACATTTGCAAGATTTCGTTCTTACAACCAATCGTTCCCGTTATGAGTGAGACATTAAAAGCTTCGCATACGATTCGAAATATTATTTTCCACTGACTTTGATATTCTCGAAGACCACCAACTTTTTTGTATTTTTTTGTATTTTATTTTATTATTTTTGGTTAGGTTTGTATTTTTTTTATTATTTGATAATTTTTTATTTTTAATTGTGTTAGTATTCGTAACTGAAGGTGTTTAGATAATGCAAAACGTTTTCGTCATTCAGAAGTAATTGCGTTAGTATCTGAATGGTATTGTTACAAAAACCTCATATATGAAACGAAATGAGTTTTGGTCATGACATTTTGGTCATGATAACCCCTTATCAAGTCATCAACCCCCTTATCAAGTCATCAACCCTCTTATCAAGTCATCAACCCCCTTATCAAGTCATCAACCCCCTTATCAAGTCATCAACCCTCTTATTAAGTCATCAACCCCCTTATCAAGTCATCAACCCCCTT